ATTATTAAATCTAAAATGAAAGGTTTTTTTAGAAATGTAGTCTAACAGTTGGGTTAGCAATATATAAGCCATGATAGTAGTACTGTTTCTTTAAGTACTGCTGTAAATGTGATTGGTTGCTGTTACCTCAAGCGGCCATAAGATGGAGCCAGAATCATTGTTAGCTCTCTGATTGTTACATGCTGATCGGTGGATACTGGTTGTAGATGTGTTGTCTATTGCTCAGCGTGAATTACTGTGAGTTTTGCTACTGTTAGCGACTTTGTGTGCTGAGCTGATTATATGATACTGGACTGTGTTTGATGGATCACCCCTTAACAGAGAATGTTGATGACTGATTGTCTTAACCGTGTATGAATTGGACTCTGCATACCTCTATTTCCACAGAAGTAAAATACTATCTGTTTTACTATTCAGTGCCTCAGTATGCTGGTTTATGCGTTTCTTCCACACCGTTTTCATTACGCTTCTCTGCATACACTCGTTCTCTTAACGGGGAGCTTACCTAACAATAAATATCAATTATCTGTATCAATGAATAGATTTATGTTTGTACCATGTATTTAAAAACACTATTTCCAAGTAGATATTCACTAGTCATCATTCTTACTTTTTAAAAAACCCACCTCTTCTAAGTAGGAACTGACTTAACATTCACACAATACGTATTTATTCATGTGTCTCCAAATGACCAGTCATATTTTTGTTCCCTCGTGTCTCATCCTCATCCATCCATTCATGTCACCAAGCAGAATAACTTTTGTCCCTAGATCATATTTAATTAAAATTTTGCACCCTCCCCCACTCCTCAAAAACTCATCTTCTGCCCTTTCATTAATACTGTTCACTGGAGCTTAACATGTAGCCATCACGGTCTATGAATAGCTATTCTACCACACACTCCCAACAATCTTGACTCCAATTGATACTTTATGAAATATATCTATTCCTTTAATTTCTAATGAAAGAAAAAGGGTGGCAGAACTGGGGAAGGGGTCAAAAGAGGAATCAGCCTAGAATCTCTACATGGCCATAAACAGACTTACGTTCAACCCCTTTTAAATTCCGTTGACCCTTATCTAGCATCAAAATAGACTCTAACTGCTAATTGAGTAGATTCCTGTGCTTAAGAAATAATAAATGAGTTTAATCAGAACTTCACATGTAGCCCTGGTCTTTCATGGCTGAAAATACCCTTCAATTTCTTACGTATATTTTTTAATTCCACTCCACAAGATCAGACCACTTTCATTCATATCTGTTGTATTCTACTATTAATTTCACAAACAGGCAACGTATATTTTTTTTTCTTTCATTCAGTCATTTCATGTATATTTCAAGCTATTATAATGTTCTATTCTTGCATTCCAAGCCACAGTCTTCCATATGACAATTAGAAAAAAAAATGGAAGTCAGTATTTTTTCTGAAAACAATCCATGCGTATCCTCCGTATATTTCATAAGCATGAAATAATAGATGCAACTAGAAAGAAAATAACAGATATCAGTAAGGCGTAGGTTAGTTTAGTTTAGTTTATTATCATTGCACGTCGTACAATGAAATTAAACGCCATCTTCAGTGTACATTATAACTATAAAAATAAAAACACAGACATACATCCTTCACATGCTGTATAACTGAAATTGAAAACCTGATATTGCATTAATATTGCACTATACCGTTGAATTCAATATAGTTACTGCCCTGGGATAGAAGCTGTTTTTCAATCTATTTGTCCTTGTTTTTATTATACTGAACAATCTGCCGGATGGTAATAGTTCAAAAAAAAGGGGTGCCCAGAATGAGATGGATCTTTAAGAATGTTTTGAACTTTCTTAAGCAGCGGGAGCTATAAAGTAATTAAAAACCAGAAACTGGGAGATTGTGAATTCTACTTTTGCATTAGATACAAAGCCAATTGTTTGAACTGTTGGAAGAAATGCCTTTCTGGGTTCGGCTCCAAGTGGGGGAAAAGACACTGGAGACGTGGAGGCTGCTTGGAAAGATGGTTTAATGGTGAACAGGACCACATGGCTTGAGTCCTGAACAGAAAAGGTGATCACATGCTTCAATGTTGGGTGGNCTGCTGATCTAGCAGTAGCCTGCAGTGCTGCATTTAACCACTGCGCCACCTTGGCTCATAAGTATACGGAATAGCTTTGGCTTCACACCAAGGACCACACCCTTTGGAAGTGAAATAGAACACGAGAAAAGTACATTATTTTGGCAATCAGAGTCAGTCATGATCCGCAGACTTCAGCTTGTCAAGCAACCCATATTTGCTGCTCCTAATGAATATCTTAAAATATTAAAGTCCTTTTTATAAAAGACTGCCTAATTTAAAAAAGCAACATGTGGCATTTCCATCTGGCTACCAGTCCATGGACCTAGAACAGATATATGCCTATTATTATATTATTGCATGACCTCTATATGTTCTTTCAATACGTGCTCTGCATATGCACGATAAGGCAATGCTTCTAGTACATTTCCCCCAGCAAAGATGATGGAAAAGAACCAGTGTAACTTTTAAGTAACATGGCTGAAGTCAGAATTGATAACTGTCAAACAACCCCAGGAGGCTAGGAGCCAACAATAATGGCAATTGACTTCCTACTCCCCAATTTATTATTTTCTTTCATGCATTTATATGGCCGCACACCCACTTTCAGTGACTCTACCTGGCTCACAAACAATTAAAAAAAAACAATATACAAAGAGTAAAAACAATAACCTCCCACTCACCCAAAAATAAGCCCTCCCCAAAAATATTGCAACACAGCAGCAGCCATGAGGTGACCACGCTCACCGCCTCCTGCCCCTCAAAAATAAGAAGACCTCCCTGAAAATTAAGGCCAAGTGCTTATTTCAGGGGTCAAAAGAAAATAAGACCCTGTCTTATTTTTGGGGAAAAATGGGTAGCCTAAAATGTTATACGACAAATCCTTCCAGCAGAATGTCATTCTGGATTGGCTGCTAACACTAAATGGGACAGGTTTAGGTTAGGTTATAGGTTTATTTCATTTATATGCCGCCCTGTTCCCGGAGGGACTCAGGGCGGCTAACAAATCCAGGGGAGGGGGATAATACAGACAAGGCAAAAACAACAAACAGGATACAGAGAGAATTTAAAAACAGTCAACAGTCATACAATTCGAGCGGGGAAGGGAACTCCTCAACCCCAGGCCTGNACTGCACCCTAACCACTGCGCCACCTCGGCTCTTCTTACAGTTGGGGCAGGGAGGAGGAGGAGGAAGAGGAGTTGTAAGCCACCAGACTATCAACTTACTAGTGGTTCTGCCAGCATACATCGCTCTTGCTGGCTCCAAAACTATCATTTAAGAAGGGACAGTTGTTTATACACACGTCTTCCAGGAAATGCCTTGGATTCAATGAGTTCTTGGGTCATGAAAACTCTAGGAAAGTTTTATTATTTGCTAGGCCCAAACTCCGCAATATCATTCTTGCTTTTCCTCTCCATTGCTTCTTTTTTGGAGGACTGCTTAAATAAATGCAGCTTTTCAATTGTCTTTGTTTTGGTTTATGGCCTTCATAAGACCCAACCAATCAGATGAAAGCAGTTTAACAAATGAATGGGATTAAAAACTACCCTCTTCTGCTTCACTGTTAATAGAGTGACAGTATTTGTATGGCATGCTTACCGTATTAAACATGTGTCGTGAATTTAGCCACAGTGTATGGATTTTGCTTGGTTTTGATTTGCTCATCCAGGTCTTTATGAAAGGGACAAATCGACGTTCAATTGCTCTCAATACCAATGAGAAATGATATAAAGTGTGTGCTCTATATTGAATAGCCATCATTTTCACAATATCCAAGAAAACCCAGCTATATGGAATAAGAACAAATATACCAGAATCCTTTTTTTGCCACATTTAATATCCCAATCATATAGCTATGACTAAACCCACAGTTTTCAAAATACGCACGGAAATCCAGCCATTCCTAATGTTACCCCTGCAAATATCCTTGTAGCACAATACAAGTGGTGTAACCTCCCTCTGCCTTTTCACCAAAATGGCTCTAATTCCTTGTGTCACAGCAATTTTGAAGGATAAGTAGCTAAATCTTGATTAGAACCTTTGACCAGCTTATCTATATATACCTGAAAAATACACACACTCCATTAAAATGGCAATTAAAGTGAATTCTATAGGTTAAAGAGGAGGAAAGGAAGGGAGAAAGAAAGGAAAGAATTTTAAACATATAGAAAAAAATGCAATTGTGCTGGACGATGTTTGTTGCCTCAGTCTTGTAGCAGTGGGGTAGAATTTGGCAACATAATAAGCGATAATGCTTTTATGGTCTGCTAAAGATAGGAGACACTGACATAGGAGAAAACACTGGCAGAGAAAACTACTACTATATAGTAACTCCATTTCCTTCTAGCACTGATGATGTTACTTAGTTGGGTCATGAAACATCTGCAAGAAAACAACCAAGCTCAAAGAGCATCAAGAACCCCACAGTTCGATCCTGAGCCACAGATATTATCTTCTACAACGTACCATTGATCATCTCTCCCTAGGAATTCCTTTATGATGGGCTGGATCCAGTGGTGGGATTCAAATAATTTAACAGCCGGTTCTCTGCCTAATGACCAGATGGGTAGGCTGGCTNGAAGGAAAAAAGAAAGAAAGAAAGAAGAAAAAAGAAAGAAAAAGAGTGAGAGAGAGATGAAAGAAAAAAAGAAAAAAGGGACAGAGAGACAAAAGGAAGGAGAGAGAGAGGGGGGAGAGAGAGAGAGAGAGAGAGAGAGAGAGAGAGAATGGCCGGCAAGCCACTCCCACCAGGTCACATGGCTGGAAAGCCACTCCCACAAAGGAGGCCACACCCACCACTGCTGTGGCTGGTCAGGTGTACAGTCCCAACATCCACGAATAAAGGTGTTCCATGTCTACAATTAGCTTTACAGCAAATATCAGCATCACTTGCAAAGCTACCAGGAAATACACATGTCCTAAATACATATTTTTGATTTAGGCTCTTTCTATCTGTATCTAAATATGAAAGGAATCTTCAAAATAGTCATATCATTTTTTGCTTGTACTAGCCCGTATATCTATTATGGGCCGTGAGAATAACCTGTGAGAGGAACATAAGGAAGAGTCTCAGACAAGACAGGAGAAATCTGATAAGAGAAACCTGAGTTAAAGCAAAGCTGTAATGTGAAAGAACATCTCAAACTTGAGCGTTGCTAATTCTGGTTAAGATAAAGGCAGGCAGGCGGGAGGCACATTCAGCCTTGCAAGATCCTGGAACTGTAAGCCTGTAATAAAATTAGTTTTAGTATTCAACACTTCATCTGGTCTATCGCAAGCCTGTTCTATTTAGAAGGCTGATCTCTGCTTATTAAAAAGATATAGATTCAATCTGGTAATCTAACGTACCAAGATAGTTGCTTCTCTTGAGTTCCCTTGAGTTTGACACCCCTGTCTTAATCAGCAATTTTCTCTTCAGGGCTCAAAGATCAAGATCTATTTTTTTCAAAAATATACCTCTAATTTATGAAGTACTTCAGTAAATCCCCTTTAACAAAGAATTTTAGATTGTAAGAGCATGAGCAAATTTCCCAAGAATCATCTACTTCTAAAGGTAGGGAGTCAACCCTTCAGAAGTGGTATTCCGCTAGTTCTGACAGGTTCTGGAGAACTGGTAGCAGAAATTTTGAGAGGGGGCAGGGAATGAGGATTTTGCAGTATCCTTCCCTTGCCACNTGGGCATCTTAATGGCCCATTGACAAAAGGGGGTGGGCAGGAAGCTGCAGGGAGCTACTTTGTCTTTAAAACATGTTTCTCCCTTTTCACATTCAGGGAAATATAATATTCTGCCTTTTCAATATTTCCTAGGATATTTCATTTTTCTAGGAGAGGGGTGGGTTTTAACTCTCTACAGACTTTACACCAGTCACTGTCTTGCAGCCCCAGGAATGAGGCAATGGCAAGCTACTTCTGAAGAACCTTGCCAAGAAAACTGGAGGGACTAATCCAGACACTCACCAGCAGACAACATTGTCTGGGAGGCAATAAAAAGAATGGAGTTGTCCTATCAATTCCTTTTGCATCTTATTGTTATTAGATTTTTATCCTGCCTTTTTCAGTATCTGGCCATCTCAAGGTAGCAACCAGACCTAATTCTCCTGCCTCCGATTTCCCCCACAACAACCACCTTGTGAGGTAGATTGCGCTGAGAGAGAACAACTAACCCAAAGTCACACAGCTGGTTTCATCGCCTAAGGAAGGCCTAGAACAGTGGTTCCCAAACTTGGCAACTTTAAGACTTGTGGACTTCAACTCCCAGAGCTAGCTGGAGAATTCTGGGAGTTGAAGTCCACAAGTCTTAAAGTTGCCAAGTTTGGGAACCACTGGCCTAGAACTCACTGTCACCACTGTTGACAATGGTTTCCAGGCCAGCATCTTCACTGCTAAACCAAACTGTCTCTGAGACGGCTAGCATTTTTCTCACATGCATTGATATAAGTTGAAGGTAGTTTGAAATCCATGTTGGGATTTGAACCCATGTTGGATTAAAGGTTAATGATGTGGACCACTAATTTCAAAATAATTCTGAATCTAATCTAAAACAGAGTCACCCTTTTAAGCCATTTATTGTAGTATGTAAGCAGTTCAACATGCATAACTTGAGTTAACCTATTATCAACTACATACAAAGTAATTGTGATTTCTTGGTGTTTCTATAAAGAAAATCCTATGAGTAGTTATGAGATGTTACATGTTATGAGTTATTGAGATGTGCGATTTTGCTGAGGTATTAGTCAGACTGATGTTTTTATTCAGAACACAAAACATTTGCAGTATATTTGTATGGAGAACCATGTCTGTTTTCCCAATCAAAGCAAAGAATAGAAATAAGACTCTGAATACCGTACAATTACAATTGTGGCAGTTTATTTTGATTGTAATTACTCAATAAATAACCGTGATTCAGGAAGTTTCACGTACAAACAAAGCCAGATAGATTCTTGGTTTCAGAAAACCAAGCACAATTTGATGTAATGAACATTAAAGTTTGCTTATTATAGTTTGTGTTACTAACACGAGCTTGTGTAAAAGGCAGGGCTCTCAAACTCATGAATACCAGCAGAGAGGAAGAATGACAGGGCATATTACTCTTACTAGAGATAAGAGATCCTACTGTGAAAACTGTTTTTTCCTGCTATTTTTGATTCCCTTTAGTGATGCTAGCAACCTTTCCAACATTATTGAAAAATGTAAGATTTGTATCCCCAAATTGTCCTTTGTGCTGCTAACGTATTTGCCACGTCGTGGTGCTCAGATTTCTTCTACAATTTTTATTTGGGGGAAATTTATTAGAAAAGATGATGATGGCAACGAATTTTAAATCCTTCCAATCCTTCCCAGCTTGGAATCTAATGCGAGTTTTTCCCATGGCGCCTGAAAAATCCCTTGTAGCATGCAAATGTCCCAAGATCCTCAAGGTTGCATTTTACACCGGAAAGATGCACACCTCTAGATATTGTAACCGAGTCATTCAAATGTGTAATTGATGTTTTTTAGTTCAGGTTAACTGAGAATGAAAAAAACAACACATGATGACATAAATAATGTTCTGGAAAACCGGCGGGGAAGATACAAAATAAGTATCCCACGTGTTTCTCTTGAAAGCACCGTTGCTACGACATTTGTTTTTATTTAAGAGGCAAAGAGGGCCAATGGAAAAGGCTGTGTTTTGTGTTCACTTCTTTTTTTAAATTCAGTTTTCTCTCTCAAAATACAGATAATAATTCACCATTGTAGCTTTTAATAAAAGGAGTGAGGGAGAAAAATAGCAAGTTTAGTTAATGTTTTGTTTCAATTGAGCCATTTTCCCTTTGCAATAACTCGCTGTCTAAATCTATTGCAGTCTGCCTGAATATTATGACTATGGTCATGGAGCAAGTGAAGATGCCTATGACAGCTACGGTAAGGCTTGATCTATTTTTGGTAAATGTGTGAAATCAGAAAAGCAATCATTCAGTGACAACCCAAAATTACTTGTACGTTCTCTCTTCCTGCTCTCCCGGAGGGCAGGCTAAGCTGATTTATGTCATTCTGAAGTCAAATGTAACTTGTGGAATTGAGGTCACAAAACCAAACAAATCCGTTTTGATCAGAGGTCTTCAATGACGTTAATCACAGGGGGTAGGGTCAGTATTCAAAAGCGATAGCGAAAATGCCGCTTTATTGCATGGTGAACAAGCACCAGATTTAGTGATGCTACTGATGCAACAGCAACTTTATACGTACTTGGCTATCTCATATTACTGTTCTCAATAGAAAGCAAGATTTCATGGGCTAGGAGGCTACGGCACAGAGGTGGGTTCCTACCGGTTCGCACCAGTTCGGTAGAACCGGTTGGTCAAATCTACCGAACCATTGAGAGGAGGTTCCACTGGTGGACCCGGAAGTAAGTTCCAGAACGCCTGTAGAGGGGAAGGAAAAGATGACGTTGACTAGTGAAATATGTAGTGGTCCATGTATATTCTATATAATCCCCCATTAGTGTATATGAGTTACAGTGAGTTTTTTCAGAATAATAAAAAATAAATAAATTGTAAAGGAAATCTCNAGGTTGGGAAAGAGTGCTCTAAAGTCATATATAACCTTGATAAAATCTTTGCTTGGAGCTCCTCTTGGCATGGTTCCTACAGCTTTATTCTCATGTCCTGAAGTTTGTTGAGATATTTTTCAGGTGGTGGCCGTAACTTTTCCAAGAGCTTTCCCTCTTTCTTCCATTCCTCCTTTCCTAGGCTGTCTTCTGGCAAGGTGAGTCCCGAGAGCATCCGTACTCTACGGCCCCCTTCCGAGTCGTCCGATGACCAAGGTCCATCTGGCAAGCGCATGCTCAGCCCTAGCAAGGAGAAGGAGCTGTCTCTTTACAAGAGGACCAAGCGGGCGATCAGCAGCAAGAAGTACAGTGTTTCCAAAGCTGAAGCTGAAGCTGAGGCCACCACTCCCATCGAGCTCATCAGCCGTGGGCCGGATGGCCGCTTCGTCATGGACCCTTCAGAGATGGAGCCTTCGCTCAAGTCCCGTCGGATCGAAGGCTTCCCTTTTGTCGAGGAGACAGACATGTACCCCGAGTTCCGCCAATCGGATGAAGAAAACGATGACCTTGTGATGCCTCCTTCCGTTGTGGCCCTCAAGTCTCAGTTGACGCCTCTTTCTTCCAGCCAGGAGTCTTATCTGCAGCCACCAGCATACAGTCCCAGATTCCATCGGGGTCTGGAGGGAACAGGGGCCCTTCAAGCCACTGGTCAGGCCCGGCCCCCGGGCCCCCGGCCATTCCACCACGGCCTATATTACGGTTACCTCAGCAGCAGCAGCCCCGGAGAGATGGACCCTCCACCATTCTACATGCCAGAGGTGAGCCCTCTCAGCTCTGTCATGTCCTCCCCTCCCCTGCATCCAGAAGGACCTTTTGGCCACCCTACCATCCCTGAAGAGAACGGAGAGAATGCTTCTAATAGCACACTGCCCCTGACTCAGACTCCAACGGGAGGCCGATCCCCTGAACCATGGGGCAGAGCCGAGTTCCCTTTCAGCGGCCTGGAGTCCTCGCCCATCCTCTTTCCTCACCAGCTCCATCCGTGCGAAATGTCCGAGAGTATGCCGCCCCAGGCCAGTCTTCCGAGGGGACCTCCGCCTTCCTCCCTCCAGGTTCCTGCATCCTACCCTGGCATCCTGGCTCTGGAGGCACCCAAGAGTTGGGCTGGCAAGTCACCCAGCAGGAGCCAACCTTCCATGATGCCCACCACCTCCAGCACCCCCAAATGGCAGGACAAACCTATGCAACCAATGGTGAGCCAAGGGCAGCTAAGACATACCAGTCAAGGCATGGGAATACCGGTGTTGCCTTACCACGGGCCGTCCGAGCCAGTTAGCCACAGCAGCACAAGCACATTTGGCCTAGACACAAGGTGGTATGACCCACAACCGAGACCTCGGCCAAGTCCTCGGCAAGCCAGGAGGGTGGAGCCCAGTTTACATCAGGTGGTGTTGCAACCGTCAAGGCTTTCACCCCTGACTCAAAGCCCCCTCAGTTCCCGCACCAGCTCCCCAGAGCTGACGGCCCGTGCCAGACCACGACCCGGACTCATCCAGCAGGCAGAGATGTCGGAGATCACCTTGCAGCCCCCAGCTGCAGTCAGCTTCTCACGCAAGTCGACGCCCTCCACCGGTTCTCCCGCCCAGAGCAGTCGCGGAGGGAGTCCCAGCTTCCGACCAACGATGGCCTTCACCTCTTTGGCCACCGGCTTTCCTCCTTCTCATTGCCCTTCCATGCCCATGGAATCCATGGATGTCTTTGGACAGATGTCCTCGCCAAGGAGGACTGGGGAGGAAACCCATAGGCCAGAGCTGACACCGGCAACCAGTTCAGGGTAAGGATGTGCACGCGCAAGTGGAATTTGCTTGCCTTCCTTTTTTTACCCAGCCCTTCTTTCCCTCCCACCTCACCCGCTCCCACCCCTTCCCCCAAAGCCCTTCCTCAAACACCATCAATGGAGTCCTTAGAGTTGATCTAGACACCCTTTTAATTTAATTTTTTTTTGGAGATGACTAGTTCCCAAAGTTCACTTTGCACTGTTGGATTTGCAATACCTCTGCCTGCTGTTGCTCATCTCAGCAGGTTAGGTCAACGGAATGCTGTACCTTTGAGTTAGTTGTGGTTTTGCATTTGTTTTTGTTACCTGAAACTCCCACTTCTTTCCACCCTCCATCGTTCCATTGGAAATCTCATTCAGAGCTTGCTTCTGGCTTGGGGACTGACGCCTCAGATGAACAAAGTTAACAACATGTCAGATTCAGGAGTCTTTGGAGAGAGGACGGTTGGTGTTTCGTGGGGACCTGGGTGAATGAATTCTAGAAATTGCTGACATTTTGCTGTTCTCATTCCTGGCTGTTGACTCTCCTGGAATACCAAACCCAAGTTTTTGCCTTCCTCACATCCTTTCCCCCTTCCAATAAGCTTGATCATCCTCCATGATTCCAACTAGGCTATCCAAGCCACCTTACTTTCCTCATCTCCAAAAGGGGTGTTGCAAGCTTTGCCCCCAGGTTTGTCCAGGGCTTTGGTCCATGGAACAAACTGCCAGGAGAAGGGGAACCCTAAAACCCAACCTCAACTTAGAACCCCAACCCAACCCAAACACGGTGAAGTCAACATTCTTGGATCTTGAGCATGAAAGGTGACTGCTGGAGCTGGTCTTCTCTCCAGCAGCTGGTTTCTCAGAGACCAGCTTTGCAACAGGCAGACTGTTCTTTCTATCTGTCTCTTCCTTCTCTCCTCTGCTCCTCTGTCTGATGGCAGTGTTTCCCATCTTGGTTGTTCTTTGTTGATGCAGCTTTTTGTTTTGATTCTTGATGTAGTGGAGTTGTATCCCCTTGCTCTTCCCTTTTGATCCTGAGGACTTTCTGGAAACAAGTGGGGCATTGTGCCATCTGCTTGGGGAAGGGACAAGAGAAAGGGAAAGGATGGGAGGTGTGGTCTGCTTGTGATGGGAACAAACATGGATTGCCACTGCTAAGTTGGCAGGAGCATAAGCTACAATGTTAGGAGAGTAGTAGGAGAAGTTGACTTTCATTGTCCTTGCAAAGCTTCTGCCATTTCATCTGTGCTATATCTGGTGCCTGGAAGCTCCTAATTCATTAATGAACCCAATCAGCACAATTATGGGATGCTGCTTTCAGGAGATCCAGAGTGTAGGAGATGTACGTACACAAAAAAGGACAGAGCAGTCTCTTAGTGTTTGAAAACAACCAGAGATAAAGCAGTGAAAGCCACCTCTCCGATTGGGAAAGATGGACCTCATGGACCTTCTCATGGATCCAAGGTCACACCAAAGTCCATTACTGGGAAAATGCCCTTTTCTGATGCTGTCTACCTCCAGATTGATGAATTTTAGGATTCTCAGCACAGCCACCTTAGCTGAGGAGCTTCTGGAGGCTGAGGTCCACACATCAGCACCCAAGGCGTGGAAGTCTTCCATAATGGAAGGCTGGGGAATACAATAGCTTCTAAATCTTGTTGATTTTTGGCCTCCTATTAGTCCCAGTCTCAATGGTCAGGAACAAAGGAAAATATTGTCCAATGATATCTGAAGGACATAGAGTTTCCTTGGCCCTTGTCCACACCATGAACATTATATTTGCTTTCTGGTCCCTTTAGTGATCATGGCTGTCCCCAGAGAATCATGGGAATTATAGATAGTTTTTTAAAAGCCCTGAGGTAGAGAGGGACTCCAGTCTGGTGACTTTACAAATAAAATTTTAAATGGGCTTTCCTTAGAGGATGAAGGGCAATTCACCATCTTCAATGTTGGCCTCAGATCAGGGGTGGGTTCCTCCTGGCATTACTACGGGTTTGGCACGCACATTTTTTTGCTCTGCGTGCATGTGCATTTGCACCTAAAAACTTCTGCGCATGCGTGCAACTTTAGAAGAGGAAAAAAATTACATTTCTTCAATGAAGATGGTTCTGCGCATGTGCAGAACAGAAAATCAAGATGGCGGCCCCAAGCATAGAACTCGTTCGGGTGCTTGTCCCGCCGAGTTACTACCTACTCCGCCTAACTGGTTGGAACCCACCTCTGCCTCAGATCCTTTTTCATGATGTCAGCCATTTTTCTCCCGATGGAACTACAATTCCCAGGATCCTTTGGGAAAAAAAGAGTTGGGACTGACCCGAGGGAACTTAGCAGGGAGTGACCCGCTCTGTAGCACTGAGAAGTCCTTCGTACTAGATTTCCCCCTGTTGCATTGATGACGAAGCTCTCTACACTTTTAGCTCTCCTTTCTTCCTTACTCCCTTACTTTCTTCAGCAATGTTTGTTCGTTTGTCTCTTGGTTTCTTTCCTCCCTCGCTTTTCCTTTGGTTTTTCTTTTTTTCCCCCACTCCCCTTTTGATTTGCTGATGTCTTGTGGAGTTTGGCTCCGTGCGGATGTTGATAACTGCTTTGTTTTTGATTAATCTCAGCTATCTGGGCAGTGTTGTCGAGACAAGCCACTCCTCAGCTCAATAGGTAAGGGTGATCAATGTCTGGAAGGATGGTGATGGGTTCTGGGGATTCGGTTGGGGTTCGGGGTTCGGTCGGGGATGTGAGAGGGGCTTCCCCCCCCCAATAACATTTATTTATTGATTTGTTTGGTTATTATTATCATTTTTAAATCCTTTTCTTTTCCTTTAAAGGGGAATAAGGCATTGCAAAAACTAGGACAAAGTATTGCACACACAACCCTTTGTGGCTTTGGGGTTTTCTCCCTTTCATCAGGATAGCAATAGCAACAGCACTTAGACTTATATACCACTTTACAGTGCTTTACAGCCCTCTCTAAGCAGTTTACAGAGCATATTTTCCCCTGGGTCCTCATTTTAGGCACCTCAGAAGGATGGAAGACTGAGTCAACCTTGAACTGGTCAGGATCGAACTCATGGCTATGGACAGAGTTAGTCTGCCATACTGCATTCTAACCACTGTGAAGGAAAGGAAGGGAGGGAGGGAAATATCCATAGCATTTAGACTTATATACTGCTTTATAGCCCTCTCTAAGCAGTTTACAGTCAGCTTATTGCCCCCAACAATCCTCATTTTACTCACCTAGGAAGAATGGAAGGCTGAGTAAACCTTGAGTTGACAGTTGGCACAGTTAGCCTGCAATACTACATTCTAACCACTGTGCCACCACAGTCTTTCCTTCCTTCCTTCCTTCCTTCCTTCCTTCCTTCCTTCCTTCCTTCCTTCCTTCCTTCCTTCCTTCCTTCCTTCCTCCCTC